TCAGGCCACTCCTGTCACATGAATCCCAGGGTCGTCTGGGCTCCATTTGGAAAGCATCAGTGTCCTTGGGGTCACATTTACATTGGCAGAAGCTGGGAGCAGAAAGGGAAGGGGGCAGGAGCGCTGGATGCCCTTCCAGATCCCTGGAACAAGCAGCTGACACCTCCAAACAAGAGACCTGATCGCCCTTCTCTCTGCCCAAAAAGCTGCTGCCTCAACTCAAAGCCAGGTCCCCAGAAAAGCAGCCTGACCCTTTGACACCCTGTGCAGGGAGTTAGTGAACATTTCTGGAGCACAATGAAGGCCAGAGCAGGCTAAATGCTACTTATTATTGGATCCTGTGGGTAGGACACATGCTGGATTTCTCTTCTTTTTTCTCTCTACATAAATGTCCATCCAAAGAGCCAAGGCATTCATCCTCTCCTACTTAAGAACCTGGCAGATGGGGAAACAGAGGACAACCAGCTCCCTGTGTCAGACTAAAGCCAGAATGGCACCAAACCAGGGCAGAGCCACCCTGGTCCAGCCCGTTTCCTTGGGGTTGGCATCAAAGCAGCTCAGCAGAGCTCCAGCACGGAGCACAGCACAGCAGCACCTGGCCCTGTGCCCAGGGAGCAGGGGACCCGACCTACCTGGCTGTTCTTGCAGCCTGAAGCCAACTTCTTGCCATCAGGGGACCAGGCGATGCTGAGCACCCAGTGCCGGTGGCCTGGCCAAGAGAGCAGGAGCAGGTGTCAGTGCAGAGCTGTGACTGCCTGTCCCAGCACCCAGCATGTGGCTGCTCTGGGGCTGGAGGAGGGGGAAACCCTCCATGTTCCTCCTGGCCAGATGCTCCCCCTCTGTTTTGTTAGTCAAGGAGAGCTGAGCCCTCACTGAACCCTGGTCCCAGCCTACATGGGTGAAGCAGCACCCAGCTTGTGCTCTGTTTGTCCCCCCAAACAAGCAGGGGGGTCCCTAAGGTAAGAGGTGAAGACCTGCATTCCCAGGACACCCCCACACCCACCTTTGGCTGTGAACTGCGGTGTCTCCGTGCTGAGGTCCCAGAAGCGCACGGTGGTGTCTCCGGAACCACTTGCCAAGTACCTGGGAGAGCAGAAGAGCTCAGCCCTGTGCCCTCGGGGGGGAGGGACGTGACAGCGGCCACCACCTCACCTCAAGCTCCCCACCCACAGCCAGACCCTCGTACTTTCCCGTGGGGCTGAAGGCAACCGAGATGACAGCTTCGGTGTGTCCCTCCAGGGAGCTGGTGCAGCGGGTCACCGCCCGCACCCGGAACACGGCCTGAGGCTGGTAGATGATGTCCAGGACCTTCTCCGTCTCCACCGTCTGCCCCGCCAGGGTCTTCTCCAGCGACACCACAATTTCGGCATCGTGGACGAAGAAGGCAAGAGGCACCGGCTCATCCTGGGGGAGATAAGGTAGGAGCCATGGCGAGGGGGGTCCCCAGGGCGGGCTCGGGGGGTGCCGAGGAGGCTGCTCAGGGAGGGGGTCTCACCTGCTGCAGGAGGGCGTTGCAGACCAGCTGCAGCTTGTCCGGGGTGATGGTAACCGGGACGTCGGAGGGGGAGCCAAGGGACACCCCCGCCC